CCTTGTTTTTCTTTATTTTATTTTGATTTTTTTATTTTTGGGATCAAATACATGACCTTGCACTTGCCATGCAGGAGCTTAAACCACTGAGTTATCTCACCAGCCTTGTTTGTTTTTGTTTTAATATGAGTGTGAACACAGTTTCTAGTTCTGTTGTTGTTGTTCTGTACTGTCCTTGTTTTTATGTTTTTCTTCTCTTTTTCTGTCCTGTCTTCTTCACAATTTTCCCAAAGCTTTCATGATCTTCCCTTGTCCTCTAGCCTTGCTTCTAACCTCTTCTTCTTCTTCTTCTTCTGCTAGTTTTCTATTTTTCCCCCTGTCCCCTTTTAAATTTTCTTCCCTGAGGGTAAAATTGTCATATTGAGGCCTTATTTCCTGCATGCAATTTTCTGGCTCATTTTAGATTTCATTATATAACCACAAATCTAGTTCACACTGTTAAAGGTGGCAAATTAAAGTTGCCTCAGTTTTGTCATTTTTGGGCTGTATTATGGTTTGTATCTAGTTGTCCACCCAAAGCCTCATGCAGTCATGGGGCAGCTTCTAGAATTCGTGATTTTTTTTTTTTTTTTTTTAGTATTTTAGAGTTTGTGATTAATTCATGATCCAATGCTAGGATTATGGGTGTGAGTGCTGCACCCACTTTGGAGTGGACAGCCTAAATACAGTGTGGGGAGGGAAGAAAGGCTTGCTAGCTGCTGCAGCTGCTGCTCTTCCCTCTGCTCTTTGCTGTTTTCTGCTGCCATGACCTGCTGGCCTCTGCTATGAGCCACTGTGCCTTGGAGCCAGCCAAGTATGGACTGAAGACTCCACTAACTGTGAGCTAAATAAATCTTGTCTTCCTTAATTTTGGGTGTTGGGTATTTTTTCCCACCAATGAGAGAAAAGTAACTAAGACAGGCTATGTTTGATGCTGTTGTTTTTGCTGATTGTGCCATTTTAGCTAAGGTAGCATAATTGTTCTAATTAGTTGTTCTTCTTGGTACTAAGACTGAATTGCCATAAGGTCATAAATACTATAAGGCGTTGCCAAAGAATCAGGGCTAGACCAACTAGCCCTCAACTTCTCATCCTCAATAAATTGAAGAGGCAGGATCTTGCAAACAAACTCAAAATCTAAAAGCCAGCGACAACCAGAGGATACCTCTGAGAAGTTGTTGTTCCCTAACAGTGCTAAATCCTAGCAATAAAGCTGCTCACCATAAATGCTTTATAAGCCTTAATCTAGGAACTAAACTAAAAAAGAAAAGAAAGAAAATGAGAGACCACTTAAACAAGATGCAATCCCAGACCAGGGGGCAGTGAGTGGAACAACCTGAAAATCACCCACCTGGACTCTGTGGAGTAGTAACAGCAGAGGCTCTAGGAAAAAAAAATCAAATCAGAAATAGTTTCTCAGGGCTGGTGAGATGGCTCAGTGGTCTAAAGCACCTACTTAGAACAAGCTCAACAAAGCGCAGGGACCGCAGTTCAATCCCCCAGCACCACATGCCAGCCAGCCGCGCCCCCTGGTGGGCTGAGCTGGCCACACACACACACACACACACACACACACATAAATAAATAAAAAACTTTAAAAAAAAAAAGAAAGAAAGAAATAGTTTCTCAGATAACTACAGAAATGGTGACCATAGTGAAAGATATGCTTAATGATTCTAGAGCAGATATAGATTTTTAAAAAATTGAGAAGTCTTGGAAAATGATGGAAACCATGAACACCCAACATATAAAAGAAATGGAATTCATGAAACAGGTACCCAGGAGATTAAAAATTCCACTGAAAGTAAAACTGAAGAATGAGCCAGTGCAAGGACAGAACCTCAGACACAGGAGATAGGATTGCAGTTAGCAATCACGAAAAGAGAGATTTCTTTCTTTTTGTATGAAAAAAAAAAGACTTCTTTTTTTTTCTTAGACTTCTTAAAAATAGTAAAGGACTATGAGCAATTAATCCAGCAGCTGCTTCATGATGCAAAGAATAATAACATAAGCTTGACTGAAGTCAATGAAAAAGCAGGAGATAGTGCAAATGATATAAAAAACCTGTTCCCAGAAGTCACGGCAGAAAACTTCCTAAGCAGGGAAAAACAATTCAACATGCATAAGTGAGGCAAGTAGAATCCTAATTAGCTATGATAAAAACTACAGCCAGGCATACATTAGTCAATATTCCAGAAATTCCGCACAAGAACAGAATATTAAGAGCTGCTAGAGGAAATAAACAAATCACCTATAAAAGGAAGTCTGCCCCAATCACAGCAGACTTCTTAACACAAACCTTCAAGTCAAGGAGAGCTTGGAGTGAAGGACTTCAAGCCCTGAAAGAAAACAACCTCTAGCCCACATTGATGTACCCTGCAAAAGTATCTTTCAAAATTGATGAAGATAATTCCATCATAAAGAACATTTGGGGAAATGTATGAACATGAAACCACCACTCCAAAATGTTTTAAAGGATATTCTAGAAAAAGATAAAAAAACAACAACAAAGAAACCACAAACAAATAAAAAACAAGGAAAGAATAGAAACAGCAGTAGCAGTAGCCACTGACCAACCTCTCACCCTGTGATTAGGCTTTTAATCAGTCCATAGAGAAAGCACTAAGACTTCTCATGAACCCTTCTCATTAACACAACTACCCCTGAAGGGTGTGCTGTTTTGAAGCTCATTTTACAGTTGAGGAAACTGAGGCTCAGAGAAAGGAAGGTAATGGCCTTCAGAACATAAAAACAAACTTGTAGAACTGTGATGTGAAGCCAGATCTTTTAAGATTTCTAAGCCTGATCTCTTAATCAGTATGTCGGGCTCATTGAACCATGGCTACTGTTCATTTGAGAGTGATAAAATTGTTTTCATCACAGATTTATATTTGAGCTCTGGATTGGTTACTTAGCCATATGACCCTTAGCAAATTATAAATTCAAGTCACAGTTCATTTATTCATAAATTGTCAGAAGCTATGATGTTGCTTGAGAAGGGCATGATTTATAAGGTTTTCAGAAAAGGGGAAACATGAACATAAAAGATAACCAGAAGCTCTTGAGGTATGCTGAGAGCAGTGTGTGCCCAAAGTAGCTGACAGTATGGTGCCGTGGCCCAGGACCAGGGCCCTGGGATCCGCGTGGGCTTGGCCACTGCCAGGCTGGGTCAGTGCTCTAACCTCTCACCCATAAGGCTAACAATATGGGATCAAGATTAAAGGATAGTGCTTTGCTCCTCTTGCCTTTGTTCTTTTCTTTCCTTTCCTTTCCTTTCCTTTCCTTTTCTTTCCTTTCCTTTCCTTTCCTTTCCTTTCCTTCCTTCCTTCCTTCCTTCCTTCTTTTTTTTTTCCAGAACCGGGGATTGAACTCAGGCCCTTGCACTCAGGCCCTGCTCCCCGTTTTTTTTCTTTCTTTTTTCAAAATTTAATTTTAATAGCTTTTGCTGATTTCTGTTACCATGAACTGCTGCCCCTCTGCTATGTGCCACTGTGCCTTGGAGCCAGCTTTTATTATGGACTGAAACCTTCACAATCCATGAGTCAAATAAACCCATTCTCCTAAAAAAAAAAGATTGGGCCAGTGAGATAGCTCAGCAGTCTAAAGCACCTGCTTAGGCAAGCTAAGGCAAGAGTACAGGGACCACAGTTCCATCCCAGCACCACATGCCACGCCAGCCCCACCCCCAGAGCGGGCTGAGTCAACCACAAAAAAAAAAAAAAAAAAAAAAGATTAAAGGAGAAGGGGGAGGCAGGTATTAAAACAGTATCTAGTATGTAATAAGTGCTTAAACAATGTTTATTACAATTATTTTTGGTTGAGCTTATATATCAAGATCAACCCATTCTCTTTGTTCTTATTCTTGCGCTAAAAGAGCTTTTTTTTTTTTGAGAACTTTTTTTTGAGACAGAATCTTGCTATGGAGTTCTGGCTGTCCTTGAACTCACTGTGTAGCCAAGGCTGGCCTCAAACTCATGGTGATCCTCCTGCCTCTACAGGAGTGCTTGACAATGCCAAGCTAAGAGCACTTTGGATTGTGATTAAACTCTCCTGTGGGGGTTGGGGAGATGGCTCAGTGGAAAAGCGCTTTCCTGGCAAGCGCAAGGGCCTGAGTTCAATCCCCAGTTCTGCCAAAAAAAAAAAAACCCAAAAACCCTCTCCTGTGGAGGGATGCCAGAGATACAGATGTGCTAATTCCTATCTGCTTTGCATACTTCTCATTATAAATATGTTGGTAGCTTTCACGATTTTAAATCACTCCTTTTGACTTAAGTCTCTCCTGGGCTACCTTGATTTCATGGGTATTAAATGATAAGAAGTGGCTGGAATGCACACAGCTGGATGCTCAGGGAGACCAGCTGCTGTGAAAGAGCCATTTGAACGATGGGCCATCTCCTCTATGACAGTCTATTTTCATTTGTTTTATGGGTGCTACTAGGAATTGAACCCAGGGCCTTCATACTGAGCAGATCATAAGCCCTTTTATTTTTATTTATTTATTATTTTTTGGCAGAACCAGAGATTGAACTCAGGCCCTTGGGCTTGCCAGGGAAGCACTTATTCCACTGAGCCATCTCCCCGGCCCCATCTTAAGCTCTTTTATAAACTTAAAAAACTTATTTTTGAGGTAGGCTCTCACTGTCTCTTACTGGCCCATGCTGGGTTGGAACTTGGGATCTCCCTACCTCAGCTTCCCACAAGGCTTGGATTATAGGTGTGCACCACCAAACCCAGCTGCCAGTCTCTGTAATTTCATAATTTCTGCCACTTGCACAATCTGCTAAAAACAGCAGACAGCATAGCAGAGCTAAAGGCTGGGCCAGAGATGGCAAATGTTTTAGAGCTTTCAATGAAACAAACAGCCTGCTGCAGTGTGTGTGCCATAGGCGTGCCCCCACTGGTGTGCCACAAACTCAGAGTTGCTGGAATCACATGATTCCAGCAACTCTGAGTTTGAGGGAGAAACATCCCTTTGGGAGTCCAGTGGCTCCCCGGCAGGGCTGCACCTACTTGTTTTGGATTGAAGAGATTATGCTTTTGTTGCTGATGATCAATTCTTCTTGATTGAGGACTTGTTCTAAAAGCTTCCTTTTTTCTAGGAGCAGGATATCATTTTGGGCCAAGATCTGGTCCTGGAATTCCTTCTCCTGGAGATTATCATGGTAAAGGAAAGAATTAGAAATGGAAGCAGTTCAGCCTGTTTCAGAACTCTTAACAAGATGTTTTTATTTACTGTTTCCTAATCTGTCTCCAGCTATTTGGTGACATTGTCATGCATTCCTACCTAAATGTTCCTAAATGCATTTTGGTTACTTGATAGAATTCATTTGGATTTTTAATCATTCTTTTGCATAAACATTTAAAAATATCTGCATATTCAACTTCCAATAAGATTTAAATGCTCTTACCAGAGGTAAGAAACCAACAATAAACACAAGTGAATTTTTTTATTCAGGGTATTCTGGGTCTTATAAGTAGATCAGACTCATATTGATCTGCCTGTTTACAGCCTTCCAAGAGCTGGGATTACAGGTGTGTGCCACCATTCCCAGTCTCAATTGCAGTCTCAGCACACCCAGGGGATGGGGCTGGCCCAGCACAGGCTGAAATGTTTAGATGGGGAAGACACCCCATCTTTTAGAAACACCACATTTGTGTGTGTGTGTGTGTGTGTGTGTGTGTGCGCGCGCGTGCCGGGTCTCACTATGCAGCTGGGACTCATGGTGAGCCTCCTGATTTCTGCCTCCTTAGTGAGCCACCACACCCAGACTCTGAACACCACATTTTGAACACACCCCGAAATCTGGACATTTGCTACGGAAATAAGGGAAGACTGGGAACATCTGTTTTGGATGGTCACAGCAGGCAGAGGACTCAGCTGGCTTGCTGCATGGAGAGAAGACTGTTGGAATGAAGCCCAAGGAAGAGGTGTCCATTTTTGGGCAACCAGAAGGTAAGTGCAGCTTTTCCATGCATGGGGCTCTGGCCTAGGGGTCCTAGAATAAGTAGTCTCAGAGCACTTCTCAGAGCACTCAGGTTTGTAGCCCCGTGGCATTGAAAGCTGTCACACCTGTCTTCTGTAGGCTAAGTATTTCTATTTTGGGTCATACTTTGTCTTGTGAACTATGCATCCACCTGTCAACATGCTCCTAAAGTATTATACACAAAAGCAGAAAATGATATCTATGAAACATTTACATGTGCCACTGTAAGAATTTTATGTTTTAAATCTCACAAAAGCTCTGTGTGTGTGTGTGTGTGTGTGTGTGTGTGTGTGTGTGTGTGTGTAAGAGGCACCGCAGCACACTCCTGCAATCCTAGCACCCAGGGGCTGAGGGAGGAGAGCTGTGACCTGAGGTCAGCCTGGGAGGCATAGCAAGTTCAGGGCCAGTCTGCGCTACTTAGAGGGACTCAGTTTCGAGAAAATCAGAACCAAAACTGAAACCAGTTTATATAAAGCGCCAGCTTATGCAAGCTTAGGCAAGCACAGGGATCGTGGTTTGATCCCCTGGCACCACATGAAGCACCAGCCCTGTCCCCAGGGTAGACTGAGCAGGCCACAAAAAAAAACCAAAACAACCCCCCCCCCCCAAACAACCCAACCCACACCAAACCAAAAGGCTGTCTAAATCCTTATGTGTAAGGTAGAGATATTTTTCTCCGCTTTACCAATGAGGAAAATGATATACAGAGACTTGTCCAAAGTCATGAAACTATGTCAGGGCTAGGATTTGAATCCAAGTCCAAGGCTAAAACCCTCAAAATCCTTCAGTGGCAGTGAGTGAAAAATCCAGTTCCTTTCTTAGATTCTGCATACTGGTGATACCCAGGATATTGGTGAGTCTGTTGGTTTGGTAGCTTCCCGTGGCCACCACAGCAAGTTACTACAAATTGAGTGGTTAAAAATGACAGAAATTAATTTTCATCCCATATTAGATTGAGGGGGCAAAAAGTATCTATTTCAAAGTGAGGTCACACTCTGGGGTTCTGGGCAGGTGTGGCTTAGAGGGGAGGAAGTGTGCCTGCTGTGGCAGGGTCCTCGCTCCACATAGCGCTTTACACGTGGAAGGCAGACAGCACAAGGAAAAGCTGACAGTGCAGAGGTGGGATGGCCAGAGTTCTTGTGGACCCACGATCCAGGACAGCCACTTTCTTCTACAGTGAGCTCAAGAGTCCAGAAGGGAAAGCCTGACTGGACCAGTTCTTTGCTCTTTCTTTCTTTTTTTTTTTTTGCGGGACCAGGGATCAAACTCAGGACGTTGCACTTGCCAGGCAGGTGCTTACACCACTGAGCTATATCCCCAGCCCCTACTCTCTGTTTCTAATTCATGTGGTTTACTAACCTCAAGATCATTCTGTGTTTGATGCTATTCATTTGTCCCATTTCCTTCTTCCCAGACAGTCATAAACCAATAAGAGAAGCATAAGAAAATCAAGGATATTTGGGGGAAAAAGCTCAAAAATTGATATGGAAAAACATTTTTTTAAAGAAGAAAAAGAATTGGTAAAGAAATAGGGGTTTCCTATTTCTACTGCCACTTAAAATAGATAATAAAGTCTGAGACAGCGGGAAGGCTACCTAAAGCAGGAATGAGCTACTAAGGATGGTTTGAAAGATTCTGCTCAGAAGTGTTCAAGAAAAGATACCAGCCTGGGTGTAGCAGTGCACACCGGGAACCCCAGCACTCTGGGAGGCTGGGGCAGGAGGACTGCAAATTCCAGCCCATTTGGGAAACTTAATGTCCTAGGGAGACACCATCTCTAAATAAATAAATGTATTGGAAATACAGCCCAGTGCTAAGGTTCTGGGTTCAATCTCCAGTACTGGAAAAAAAGAAATCACTTATAGGCAACATAGAAACTAGCAGTGCATACCAGCACCATGCACTGAGCCGGCTACCTAGACCAGGCATGGGGGCGAAGCCTGGCCTGTTATCCCAGCGCTGGGGAGGCTGAAAACAGGAGGATCACTAGGAGTCCAAGCTGTGTAGTAGTGAGACCCTGTACCAAATACATAAAAAAGAAAAGAAACGAAACTAATAGTGCAGAATATTTTTAGTGTCCAATTTGATTTAGCAATACTTGAGGGTTTTTTTTTTTACAGTTGAGCCGGGCTTAAATACTTACTCACTTTAAAAGAGGGTTTGGGCTGGGGAGATGGCTCAGTGGAATAAGTGCTTCCCTAGCAAGCACAAGGGCCTGAGTTCAATTCCCAGTTCCACCAAAAAAAAATTAAAAAAAAAAAAAAAAGAAGAAGGCTCCCCCCGCCACCTCAAAGAAATGAAAACAAGGACCGCGAAGAGACTACAAGTCAAAAAATGGGCAGGCTTTCTCAAAGTGGCTGACCACTGACACCATCAGTGCACTTTTTTACTTCTCACCGATTTAATTCTTTGTTGCAGTATTCCAGTTTCATCTTCAAGTTGTTTAATTCTCTTATTTCGTATCTCTACTTCATGAACTAAACGATCCTTGACCTTCTGAAGCTTAGTTTTGTGGTGGTGATGTTTTTCATTGCAGTTTCTACAAAAGGAAATTTGAGTATAGGCACCTCTGAACATAATTAAATTTATTTTGCTTCCTCAGTATATACCTTCTTGGTCAGGGAGATGGCTCAGTAGAATAAGCGCTTTCCTGGCAAGCGCAAGGGCCTGAGTTCAATCCCCAGTTCCACAAAAAAAAAAAAAAAAAAAAAAAAAAAAAATTGGGAATCTCCTTGACTTCTGATCCCTTATGTCTAAGTTCTCAATCACATTCATGATGGGGAATTTGTACCTGTACATAATGCATCGTTATTCTTTTTTTTCCCATCCCCCCCCCTTTTTTTGTGGTACTGGGGGTTAAACTCAGGACCCTGTGCTTTCCAGGCAAGCACTTATTCTACTAAGCTATCTCCCTGGCCCTTCACCCTTCTCTCTTTTAACCACTCTCATTGGTTTGGATTTTTAAAATGCCAATTCTCTTCAGTCTCTGCTTTTCATTCTTGATTTGATTCTTTCTCTCTCTCTTTTTTTTAATTGGTAGAACCAGGGATTGAGCTCAGAATCTTGCACTTGCCAGGCAAGCACTTATTCTACTGAGCCCTCTCTCTACTCCTGATCTGATTCTGACATAAATCTAAGTGATTGCCCCTAAGCACATGAAAAGATGCTCAACATCATTAGCCATTAAGGTATTGCAAATCCAAGTCACAATGGAAGGGCCAGCCAAATAGCTCAGCAGATTAAAGCCCCTGCTTAGGCAGATGCAGGGCCAGTAGTTTGATCCCGGGGCATGCTGAGATGGTGACTGAGACTGGGTGTGGTAGCGCACGCGTGTAGTCCCAGCTCTTGGGAGGCTGTAAATTGGAGGATCACTAGGAGTCCAGTCTATGCAGTGAGACCCTGAACATCCTGTAGACCCTGTCCTAAATACAAAACAAAACAAAAATAAAAAAAAAAACCAAATCACAATGGAATAGTACTATACGTTCACTGTGTTGATTCAGAATAAAGAATATGATAATAACAAGTGCTGACAAAAGACATGGACAAAGTGAAACACTCATCTACTGCAGGCAGGCATGTAAAATGGGACCATCACTTTGTAAAACAGCCTGAATCTTCCTCAAATGCTTACTCACAGTGACAGGATGACCCAGTAATGCTGCTACTGGGCGTATACTCTAGAGAAGTGAAAATGTTTGTTGATATGAAAACCTATACACAAAGCAGGGTGTGGTGACGCATGCCTGAATCCCAGCTCCTAAGAAGCTGGGACAGGAGGATCACTGTGAGTACACAAAGCCAGCCTGGGCTAGGAAGCAAATTCAAGGCCAGCTGGAACTGCATAGTAAAACCCTGTCTCAAAAAGGCAAAACAGGGCTGGTGAGATTAGCTCAGCCTCAGCAAACTAAAGAGTCTGCTTAGGCAAATTAGGGCCCGTGGTTCGATCCCCAGCACCACATGCTGTACCAGCCCCACCCCCAGGGCAGGCAGAGCTGGCCAGTCTTGGTGTAGTGGCGCACACCTGTAATCCCAGCACTGGGGAGGCTGAAAGGGGAAGGATCACTGAGTCTAAGCCATGTAATGAGACCCTGTACCAAATACATTAAAAAATGTTCATGAAAGGAAAATAGGAGCTGGAGAGATAGTGTAGCGATTTACGCATTAGGCTCTACAGCACGAGTTCATAGGTTTGAGTCCCTGGTCTGCCTTGGGGCCGGGGAGTTAGCTCAGTAGAATAAGTGCCTGCCTGGCAAGCGCAAGGGCCTG